AAATGCTTTTTTTTTTTTTTTTTTTGCAAGACGAATCTATTTTATGATGCTGCTTTTCCAAAAGTGAGAGGGCAGAGGGATAGAGAGAGCTTTTTCCTGTATTCTTTTCTGAGATCATTCAAGTTGCTGAAGCAGTTGTTTCAAGTAGAACTTGGAGGAATAGCAACTTTTCCTTTTTCAGGGAGACTGTGGAGAAGGACCACTTTTCCTCTGACTTGGGGGAGTAGTGCTCCCCTACTAGTGCAGGTAAATCTCCATTTCTGCAGAATGACACCCTCCACTAGGATTTCTGATTTCTTTGATGGTGAGCTGTCCCTTTTACTTCTGTGCAACTGGTGATTTAAAAGATAAAAGATGTCATATACTTTAATAACATGCTTAAATTTGGCAAAATTGTCATGTGTAATGCTTTTTAACTTCTATGGAAGTTACTTCATTCCTACTTGCCATCTTTTTATCTGTCCCAAATGTCATTGGTTAAACTTCCGCAGCTAAGATTCGGGTGTTACAGTAGCTGGCAGTCTAACTCCCTAGTGTTAGTTTGAGATCTAAATTGCGAAGCTTTCAAGTAGAACTTTTTAAAGGGCACAGTCATATGTGCTTCTAAGTACATGTTCGCTATTAAGCTTTCCAGCTGACAGAATATTTATTGTATAATAGTCAAATGGCAACTGTTTAGGATTAAATATGTAACTGGACTGACGCCTTCCATTTATAACTGCACTCCGATGCAGTTGTCAGAAATCTGTTTCACTTGCGGTTTTGCTTCTAGCTCTTCCCCATTCAGGCGTGATACATGGTAATACTGTTGCTGACCATTCATCAAGTGGGAAACAGATGGCACTAGTTTCCCTTGTATTGAAAGATGGTGTTGAAAGGCTGCTCCTGTGCGAATGGCAGCAACAATGCAAAACAAAATATTTTCAAAATATATGTCTGATGCCAGTCTTTGCCAGAACATTAATTGTAAAATGTGCATTTTGTTCTACCATGGTATAAATACTGGCTGGTGACAGATCATCTCATCAGCATCTGGATTTCTGGAAGAAACCAGGTTAGAAAGTAAATCACACTGTTGATAGCAGTTGTGTCTTGCCCTGTAACAATCAAGATGTTCTTGCTGCTTAAGTGTCTGCAGTTAGTCTTTGACTTTCTAAAGAAAAGCACCAGACCACAGATTTAACATTGGGGTAGTCAAATAAAATCTAAAATTGCTATTCAGTAGCTGAAAATTCCCAGGTGAACATGCTGTTGGATCTCCAGAGGCTTGTTAAACAGTGTCCTCAAGAGACTGTCTTTTGAAGAAGCACATGGGATACTAAGAAACAAAATGCGTACTCTTTTAAGTGTTTGCTTAAACACTCTCTTGTTTATTTGTCAAGTCCAGGGATACTAACCTGATTTGGTCGTGCATTCATTTGCTACATGTCCCTGAAAACATATCCAAGCAGAAGCAGAGGAGGAGTTCTGAGTCTAATAGTCCCTCAACAAACGCATTCAGCAGGTCACTAGCTGTATGCCTTTTACTTGTTACAGCTGCTCCTGGCGTCCAGGCCAATGCTACCCTCACAGAGGAAGCAGTGGATCTCCAAAGAAGCCTGGCAGCATTTGGGGTGGCTGTGCTTGCTATTTGCACAAATCATCCTTGGGATATCCTAGCCCTCGGTGAGTTCTTTGTGCTGTAAATATGCCTGAAGAGGAAAGGAATACAACACTTCGAGCCTGTGGAAAACAGCATGAGTTGGGACAGGAGGGAAAGACTATCCCCTCTATCTCTGGCCTAAGCCTCGAGGGCCTCCTTAGCATTCAGTTCCATCAACAGACTCCGTGCAAGGGTTTTGGTCAAGACAAGCTTTTTGGAGAGTTGATTTGTGCCTTTCTACTTGTCTGTGCAGTAGCAGTTGCAGGGAGACAACTTCAGTGGGCACCAGGTGGTCTTGTATTATAGTATGCTGGACTGAAATGTGAACATGTACACTTTCAGCTGGTTATTAATTCCTTCATAGATTTGTTTATTAATAATATTAACCCGCAATATTAGATATAATTTTTGCTTTTCTGTTGTTCTCGGGAGCGTAGGAACCTTGGGCAGAGCCTTGTGTGTTTATCTTGCAATGCTATTATGGTCTTCCCCTCTGGGGTGGGGGAGTATATTTTTACCTGTGTGGAGGACTGTGACTGCACCTGGGTAGTTCACTAGCTTTTGCTGTGGTCCTGCAAAAATGTGTGGGATCTCTTTCCCTTGTGTGCAATCTTTCTCAGTAAGGTAAGCTTGATGGTTGTTTTGTGGAAACATAATATTGACCTCACCTGAACCTGCTTCTCAAATTATTTTATTGCTGTTACGATGTGGCAAATCTTGGTGCTATAGACTGGAGATTTCAGGTTAATTTTTTTCTGTCCCTTTGTTGGATATTAGAATGATGTCCCTTACCTTCCCACAGGTGGAAGATATGCCACATACATTCACCAGTAACCCAAGTTGGGTTGCTGTGTGTTGGCAATGCCTGGGACTGAGAAGTGACTGGAAGTTCCCTCTCACCATACTTGCCCACGAGCGATGGAGATGCAAGAATATAGCAACTTGGCCTTTTGTTAAGGGAAGAAGGGGAAATCTTGTGTTATTTGTGTGGCTTCATCTAATTTTAATTTTTTAAAAGCAGAAGTTCTCAGCAGTGGGAGCTTATTTTCATGGAGCTTCTTGCAGCCAGTGGCCTGTGCACTCTGAGCAGTTAGTGTGTGATAAACAGCAGAGATGGCTGCTTACTCCCTGCAGCAGGTGGTTGAGGCAAACCTTGCACCATTCTCTATTTAAAAGAGAACATCTTGGAACCATTTCCACCTGTGTTACAGGACAGATGCTGTGTGATCTGTAAGGGCTTGTGGTGCGTCCAGACCCAGCACCAGTTTTGCTCAGTTGTTGGTTTATTTTTTTTGAAGCACTGTGGGAGCTCTGTTTGCTCTGACAGCTTCTCATGCTATGTCAGGCTGTCCATAACAGGAGTCCGCACCTGGGGAGTAACTGGTGCCTGGGGAGAACTCGTTTGGTGGGGGGAACATCATGTGTTGAAAGGGTCTTTGTTGTGGTGACTGCAGTAAATCCACTTGTAACTAACTTTAAAAGTTTCTGCCTGGAAAACGCCTCCACTGTGTGTTACCTGCTCTGATAGCAAATCCCAGCCCAGGTGTACGGAAAAGGATAGACAGACCTCTAAAAGCGGCATGGCTTTTGGCTTTCTGAGCTGGTGCTGAGTTTGCAGAGCTGGTGGTTAAGAAGAAACAACTTCCCTGTAAACAGAGTACCTTTTGCTCCAGCGTCGGCTGGGATGTGTGGTAGGCGCGCATGCTGAAATGTGCCCCAGGGTCCTGCTCCCCTGGCCTTTTCTCTCTAGGCTTCCTTCCCATGGAAAGCAGGGCGGGGAAGGTGGGAGGGCAAGAACCGAGCCTGTGCTGACACAGAGCTGGGATGTGCACCCAGGCCTGAGAATTGAGAAGTGCTCCTGGGTCCCGCAGTGCAGACATGGCCATTGAGGGCTGGGTGGGACTCCACCCTGCTGTTTTTAGGGCAGCTTTTCAGGTATGTCTGCCCTACAGCCCTAGAGGTATGACTGCAGCTCATTTAAAATTACTCCTACTCACTTTCAACAAAGTTTGGCAGGGATATTTCCAACAAATGCCAGTGATGATGACGAGGTACTGCCAGTGACCCAGGGTTCAGCTGCCAACTACTTATCCAGCTTATCCAGGGGCTTGGGCAGGTTCACACGGTCTGTTCTGCAGCCTGTTTTACCACACACATGGGCTTTCATTAGCCAAGGCAGCTGCATTCACACCTCTGGGTTGCGCTGTTGCAGATGTGCCCTTAGAGTAGAGTTGTGCAGAAGTGATCTTGTCGGGAGCCCTGCTGGGTATTGCTTAATATTCTAACTATTGGTTTGGGTTTTTACTTTGTTTTAGTAAGAAGGTGTATTCTAGGTGCATCTGCCTTTCTGAAGCAATGCAGGTTAAAACTATGGCCTAATCTAGCAGTTTCCTATCCTGAATCATAGTTTACTTCTGGTTTGCCCAGTACATTGCCCAGGTTTTTCTTTCATATCTAACAGTGGTAAGTAACACCAGTTTCTGTCTATTTTCACAGACTACAACTGGGAGGAAAAGATGTTTGGCTTTCACAAACCGAAGATGTATCGGAGTATAGAGGGCTGCTGTATTTGCAGAGCTAAGTCTTCCAGTTCTCGGTTCACTGACAGCAAACGTTATGAAAAGGATTTCCAGAATTGTTTTGGGTAAGATTCTTTAGTCAACATCGTGCAAGCCATGAACCTGACATGCTGTCCTTGCTCTGGAAGACTGAAAGATTGGTTTACCAGAGGTGGGTGATGGGGGAAGGCTGGCTTCAGCTTCCTCACAGCTTTTCTGGCCAGGCCAGGAGGGTCTGGACCCTGTGCTGCTGTGTATGGTACCATCTGGTTGTTGATCTGCTGTTGTTGCCAATGAAGAGCCGCTGTAGTTTATGCCAGTGAAGGGTCAGGTTCGTGTTATGCCAGCGCAGGCAAGGATTTAGACACCTATCAGACTGTGCATTTTGCACTTGTTCCTTATAGGTGTACATTCCTACACAAGATGGAAAACAAGTTTTATGTGGCTCTGAAGATTCAACAATTTAGACAAAACTTGAGTAAAAATTTAGCAGTTCCAGTGAATTTATGTGGAGTACCCCGTTTCAGGTATTAGTGCTTTTGTTCAAATAGGGCATATCAACATATTATTAAAACTTTTCATTAGAAGTCCATTCTGATGGAAAGTAAGCATCAAGCAATTAACCTTCCAATTAGATAATGTTGCACATAATGTTACTTGAAGGCATTGGTAAGCAAAGCTATAAATAGCAGTGATTACTTGTACCAGTCGCTGTGACATTTTAGCTTTTTTGAAATACTTAAGAACTTTGAAATTCTGTGTAAATTTGTGTCCTTGAATTGTCAGCAAAGCACATTCTTCTGTGATAGCTTGTAATTTTTACTTTGTTTCAGAAAAAAAAAAAGAATTTCTCATGCTATAGTTGTCCGTGAAATTATTTCCCCTGGGAAAAGTCTGTGTTGTCAATAGATGTTTTCTGCTTTTTTTTTCCCAGTCTTGTGGATTACCTCTCATCAAAATTTTAGGCCCAAGTGGAACATTCATGCATCACTTTAAAAACTATATACACATCAGTATTGCAGCTCTCATCTCAAGTGCTTAACTGTGTGTACATCTTTGCAATCTTCAGAAATATTCCCCTCTTTCCCCCCACTCTTTCTAGAAACACTCCTTTCACATACAGATTTATAGTGCTTTGTATTTACTATGGATTTTTGTACATAAATCTGGTGTTGATATGATAATTTTCCTTATTTCTTGGCTACTGTCCTTGGCAGTGGAAAGACTGTGTGAAGACCTATTGCCCTTTTTTTTTTTTTAACTGCAGTAAAGAAGCTTGTAGTGTACCAGGGCCTTTGGTCTTGTGCTATCTTGAAATATGTTTGCCAAGGTAAAAATGCAGTCTTAATGCTGAGCAAATAAGGGCTTATCTGAGCCTGCCCCATTAATCTATAAATTGCTTCAAAGTTTTCCCATTTAAACAGCAGAAAAATTCTACACTGTATCTCCTTTATATTTCTTTTAGTGTGGGTTAGCAGTAGAGATGATTTCTAAAGAGAGCCTGTTAAAAGGAATGAGTATTGTCATTCCAGCAACTGCTGTTTCTGAAACCTTATCCTACGCTTATGTGGGAGTGTGTTCAGGTGGTATTTGTTACTCATCCTTGAATCTCTGTGAGAAAGTTAAGAGCTGAATAAGTTTTTGTTGGACCTCTGAGGTCTGTTCCAAAATGTACATCCAAGGAATATGATTATTCTTCTTCCTTCCTCCTCCAATCAAACCAACCAACTTGCTGGAACTGTGTGGGTTTTTATAGGTTTTTATTAAAACCAAAACTAACTGAAGGTGTTGGGACTGTTGTCCCTCTGGAGGCAGATTACACCACCTTTTATTTCTATATGGAAGAGTGCTTTCCACTTAGAAGATGTAAGAGACCTGTTCTTTAAATGGCAATGTTTGAGCACCCCAGGTGAAATGTAATGCCTGAAAAACAGAACTTGAGAACCCTTCACTTGCATCAATTTTTATGCTTCTTATTGTTACTAAGTGGGGGGTGTGCTTTTAACTGTTGTCAAGTGATTTTTTTTTTTTTTCTTTTGTTTTTTACCAGGCTCCATGAGGCCCGCTCAGGAGATATTTGCAATGCCTGTGTCCTTTTGGTGAAAAGATGGAAAAAATTGCCAGCGGGATCAAAAAAAAACTGGAATCATGTTAGTCATTTATTTCTCTTCTACCCCAAAACTAACTCATCTCTGCCATAGTCCATCCTGCTAGTTAGGGGAGGTGCTGCCAAGAATTTGGGGTTTGATACTTCCCTTACATTCTCCTTTCCCACTCTCAGCATCTCTAATTCCTTCCTGGAGTAGTTCCTGTTACGTGGCTCTTACCTGTCTTTATTTGGCTTGTGTGCAAATGGTGATTATGCAAGCTTGGGATGGAGTCACAGACTAATTTACCTTGTAATTCCTTGTTTTCACAAGCTCATAACTTTGTCCAAAAGTCTCTTATAACACTCAAAACATTTCAAGTTTGGCCTCTATCCAGAATTGGTTGCTCCTTTTTTGGCTTTTTTTTTTTAATAGTTTGAACAAGCAAGGTGACTTGCTCAAGCAACACATAAATCAATGTCATTTAGTCAGATAATTACAATGACTAATATCTCGCAGCTATTCCCACTCATATTTTGTTTTGATACATCTAATTTAGTTTGGGCCTAGGGCTGGGAAGATGATCAGGATTCTTTGTGTACGTTATAATCTTTATACAGGAATCCTTGATGGTAATGGAATCCAGAACTGTGGTTATTACTACCACTAGCTTTATTCAGAAGTTAAACTGATGATTTAAAAAAAAAAAAAAAAAGCAACCAAAACTCAAGCCAAATGCTTGGCAGACACTCTTAACTGAACCAGTATGGGCTTAAACAACTGTTGTCTATAAAACAATTTGTCAAAAATAGGAAGAAGGCAAAAGTTGAACTGAATGTGCTTTTTAAACTAGTTTGCTCAATGTTCCTACAAACTCTTACAAACCAGATTTAAATGAAACATAAGAGTGTCTGCACAGAACTGCATTGGTTTAACTAAACTGGTTTTGAACGTGTTCAGCTAAGTCAGTACAGGTATGTTGACTAGGGCAGTATCTGGGCACGATGCAGAAGTATTATGCATGCATTTTCTGTGTTGTAGGTGGTAGATGCCAGGGCTGGACCCAGTCTTAAAACAACACTGAAACCAAAGAAAATGAAAACTCTTTCTGGAAGCAGAATAAAGAGCAATCAAATCAGCAAACTGCAGAAAGAATTCAAGCGGCACAGTAAGTGGATCCAAAGAGATTTTGGCAATAAACATTGGTCTCCCCCTAACATTGCTTTCTGCTAACTGGCCAAACTGAATCACCATCTAGATTCAATTATACACTCACATGTTTGAGCGCTCCCTGTTTTTACAACCTCTCATTTGAGGACTTGGGGAGGGGGTGGAGTGAGGAGGAAGATCTTGTGTGCAGGGTGGGCTGTGAGACAGATGTAGGGAAGTGGCGTGGGGGAGTGTGGAACCTGGCTTGAAAGCCTGTAGCTTATGTCCTACACTTAAATGACATGTCTCTATAAGAAAATCTTCTTGGGCATGACCCTCACTGAAACTGAAGTTAGGTTTCCCTCTGCTCTCAGTAACATGCTATGGCCATTTTCAGTTTTTCCCAAGAAGCACTGTTCTGTTGATACTGCTATCAATCTTTTCCTTCCATACATGTATTAAAAAAAAAAATAATCTAGGCTACCTATTTAGCCTAAAATTTTTTTTCCTCCCTTTAAATTACTAACATGTTTCCTCTGTATAGTTTCCTTACACATTCCTCTGCTGGTCTCAGTGATTTCCTTCCACTAGCACTTAGACTCTTCAAAAAGGATTTGGACCATAGCTTTACAACAAAACCATCTGCCTGTTATGCTCTAAATACATGCCAGTGCTTTAGGTTTTTCCTCTAAAGCAAACCTTCCTAACTGTTGCTGACTTGGTCTTCTTTCAGTTATCCTACCTGGCCTGAAGGAAAAGCCTCCCCAAAGAATCAGTAAAGGCTCTAACCTAAAGAGCATGTATCTCCTCATTCAATGTGCTGTAGTTAATCTATTTGTGTTACTGTAGGTGCTAGAGATGATAACAAAAAGGTAGGCTAGTAGGCCCTCTGTTAAGGTGTGTGTCTGCACTGAGTCCATAGTTCATAGTCTCAATCCAGCAAAAGGTCAGTACTACCTAACCCATTGTACTAATGAGAAGAGCTTTGCAAGACTTTTAACTGGAAGGGTAAGAAAGGAGATTTACAGTAAGGGAGAAAGTACTAGGTGTGAAGCACAGATCCTCATTGCCTTCAAGGATCTGCCGGTGATTCCAGAGTGGGACTAGGATCTTGTCCAAAGCATGGCCTGCATAGGCTATGTTAGAGAGACAGGAACTGAAGCCTGATCCTGAACCTCTTTCCAGTCCCTCATGTACCTTCTCCAGTTCTGAGGTCTGTCTCCCAAATGCTGACAGATAATCTCTCTTGAAGTCAGCAGAGGCAACTGAAAAATGGGTTGTCATTTTTAGGTTTACCTTGTTAATTAAAAAAGTCTGTCACTGTTTCCAATCCACATGTGACTTTTTACAAGTCAGGAAGGGGATAAGTCATTGGATACATGTCCTGATCTTGCATTTATGTTTTCTCTTACAGATTCCGATGCCCACAGCACCACTTCGAGCGCCTCCCCAGCGCAGTCACCCTGTTACAGTAACCAGTCTGACGATGGCTCCGACACAGAGATGAGCGCTGGGTCCAGTAGAACACCAGTTTTCTCCTTTTTAGATCTCACATATTGGAAAAGGTAAAAAGTAACAGAATGCACCCCCTGTGCAGACAGTTCACATACACAGTGATTGATTCTGTTTCCTCAGGAATTTGATGCTGCTGAATGTAATTTGTATTGAGGATATAATTTAAGTCATGGGGTATTATACAATATCTGTCTGTCTTTAGAAAGAAATGCTGTATTTTTTAAGACATTTTCCCTTATCTCCCTCCAGTTCCCTAAATACTAATACAGGTGCTAGAAAATATTTTTACATTTTTAGGATTAACTGATAATATTCCTGTCATTATCTTGTCTTAAAACTATACTCCGTAGATGGGATATGTTACCAAGTACAACAGTGCTCTCAGCTTGCCAGCAAAACATAGCATTTGATTTGGTTGACCTGTGATGGTAGTAATTAAAAAAAAAAAAATCGAGTGGGAGGAAAATCACATGGTTTTCTGGGAGCTGACGAGCTTGTTATCTTTTATTGCCTGTTGTGGTACAGTAATGCCTTGTTTAGCTAATTGCTCTACTGAAATTGTTGAGACTTTGCTGCTTCCTCTCAAATAGTGTTTGCAAGTGCATTGTTGTCAAGGTTAGTTCAGCCCAGATAGCTGTGTATTTGAGGCTTCTCTGTAAAGCAGAATAGGAGACTTAGTTTTGTATTGACATATTGACATGGGTTTGGTTGGGTTTTTTTTTTCCTCTCCTGCCCCCCGCCAGCAGTGTTGTGGATTTAGACACAGACTTGTTTTCTCTTTTTGAGCAGCCTTTTCCCTCCTATCCTCTGAGCTGGAGGCTCAGAAAAGTAGCGTCTTGGGTCAAACTGATGTTTCGCATTTCTGTAAATTCTGGATATTCTAAACACACAAACTATTTCTCTCCCTGCCATTTGTTTCAGGCAAAAAGTCTGCTGTGGAATTATTTACAAAGGGCGTTTTGGGGAAGTCCTCATAGACACTCATCTCTTCAAACCTTGCTGTAGCAATAAAAAGTCTGCCACTGAAAAGCCAGAACAAGAAGGACCACAATCTCCAGCAATCTCCACCCAGGAGGAGTGGTGACTTCCTTGGATAGCTGCAGAAGGCTATATAGATCCTATTATTCTCTGGAAAAATACTAGAAGTGACTGTTCACTTTGGACACCTGCTATGCTGCCAAAAGACTATTCCCTAGAACTGTTTTGGGTTTTACTGCTACAATTCCACAAACTCTGAAGCCAGTTTGTATCCTTTCAGAAAGACTGTACATAATATTTAAGATGCTATGGAACACTTAGCAAAGCTGAATGCTGCTGCAAGGTTGTCTAATCTTCCTCTCTGCCCCTCCCTGCCCCCCACTTGCTTCACAAGTGAGTATGAGGATGGGGTTCTGTCTATTAAAGTATATGTAGTTCCTGTCTCTGTATTGAAAGAAGCAGTGGCTGTAAGGCTTTTTTCAAAGTTGGTTGGTAACCTTCCTTAAATCCCCAAGAAAATATTTCATTGTTAGCCATTATGAGTCAATAAGATGAACTAATACATAGAAATGCTATGTCACCTCTCTAGTTATATAAATATATATTTTTTAAAGGTGTGGAGATTTCACCCTATACTACTGACGTAACAAAGATAAGTATTTCATCCCTGCGATGTGACACGGACTGGTAAACTGCAGACATATCTACTAAAAGTGGTAGTTATCCGAGAAGGCCCTCGACATAAAGTGCTCTTCAGAAGGGGTGGGAGAGCTCTCCTCCTTAGCCTAAGGAGGAAGATTTACCTAAGAATTGAAGAGAGTGAAATGGGGGACGACTGTTTTAACCCAGCAGCAGACACTCTGGGCTTCATGTAGTACCTGACTAGTGATCAGAGATGGACCAAGAAAACATCTTGATGCCCAAGTTAGGTGTAGATGATGGCCAAAACAGAGTAACTGCTATCTCTTGGCCCAGTGCAGCTGAAATGTGACCACAGACCAGACTTCTGCTGGTTTTGGACCTGACATAGAACCAAACCCCTTGCTAAGCAAATCAGGCTCTGGTCCGGGGACATAATCTGATTGCAGCCTGGGGTCTGGATTCACAATTGCTATTTTGGAACCCTTCCCCTGTGGTGCTTCTCTGTTTGTGTCTTGGTTGTTTTAAACAACCACCAAAGCAATGCTTTTGTAAATTCTGAGTATGAAAAGTTTTGTTAAGAATGGTGCTGTACTGAATTGAGGCAGCTCTGTTTGCATACATCATCAAAAGATAGTATTTCTTACATGGATTCCCAAACTTGTGTGCAAACCATTGTGACACTCCTTCTAACTCCACTTTGCTTGTAGGGTGAAAGCAGCTTGCTGGAAGAGTGTGCTGCAGTTTTAGCTCCCAATTGCTTCATGTTCCTTTTATGAAGGTTTAACTTGTGTAAGCTGGGAATTCTGCTTTTTTTTTTTATTTTCTGGTTTTGGGGGGAGGGGGGATGTTTTTCTTACTCTTCTAGGATATTCTACAATGGATTGCTACAAGCTTTCCTTTCTGTGAGAGTCATTGGCATAATACTGTGGTGGGTAGGGCTTAGGACTGGATTTCCATGTAATCTCACTTCCTGAAATAGGAATGCTTAGCAAATGAAAATATAGGTAGGGAAATATATGCAGGTTTTAAGAGGAGTCTCTATCCTCAGAGTTTTGGGTTTTTTTTCCTCCCTTTAATTGGTCGTCTTTTACTTTTCCTAAACTCTCTGAGATTCTAAAGGGAGATCAAAGCTGCCTACCTTGCTCTCATCTGCAACCAAATAAAATAATTTAGGTTGGAAAAGACCTCTAAGATCATTGAGTCCAACTGCAGATACAATGGATACTTGCTTTTATAACAGCTTAACTATGTTGGTCATGTCTAATAAGGGCTTGAGCAAGAGTCCGAAATGTTTTTGCAGACATCTGCTTTCATTTGAATTTGTGTTTTCAGCATCAGTAATTCTGTACACCTAAGGCTGCAGTATTGGTGGTAGGATGTGCTCTGATACGGATCATCTCTTCTGTATTTATTTATTTATTACTAGATTTCAACCACCAACTGCTTCCCCTACTCCCTCCCACCTCTTCCATTCCCAGTAGTAATGCAAAATGAACTGTATGTAGTCATGCACTTTGTATTAATGTATTAGAAATCTATGGAACCTGTTTTGTACTTTTATACTGTTCAGACACTTGTAATCCAACCTTTTTTTTACTAGGGTAATGAATAAATTTAGAGTTATTTAGAAAATAAACAACTTCTCCTCTGTTTATTTCAGCTCTGTTCTGTTAATTAGGCTCAATATTTGAACCCAGCCCGGGCAACCCATGTCTCTGAACAAGGTTTCAAGACTTTTTTTTTTTTGGGGGGGTGGTGGGGTGTTGAGATAATTATCTTCCTATTTAATTTGGAAAGAAGAGCAGAGCAAGAGACAGAGATGGTGTTTATTATGATAGGCAGCTCTCTCAGGGCAGGCTTTCCCTTGGCACTGTGTGCCAGGCATTCTTTTACTGGTAATGGGTGGTGCTGACATTTGGTGTTCCTGGTGAGCTTGTTCTCTGTCTAGCTCACTGGCACTCAGTGAAGGCCAGCTGAAGCAGCAATGTTGAAGGGTTGGTGCTGACAGCATGTGGAAACATCCCTCCAGATCCAGTGGAGTCAGTGGAAGAGACTAGTGCTCCTCTACTGAAACTGGAGCCTGGAGTATTTATTCCCACAACAGGTGTAGTCAGCCAGGTAAGTTCCTGCAGACCAGTGGGAACAAGGTCCCTGACAGGAGATGGAGTGAATAACTGAGTTTAGAAGAATATGAAGCTATTCCCTGATAATGGGGAAAACATTGCAACCTTAAGCATGATGGCTTGTTTCAAGAGACTTTTGGACTTTAGTGGAGACCGATTTATTCCTGCTGATGTACTGTCTACTTTGCTGTAAATTGAGCATGATGATATCCAGGGATTCATGTAGAAATCGTTTCAGTGAAAAGCTCTGCATAGCCTGTAAGACCACATGATTTTAGTACAATAGCATCTGTTTTGCACATATTTACATTATCTGCTGTAGATGCCTAAACATACCTTGGGCATGATTTGGTTTGCCTGAAATTAAAAACTACGTAAAGTCACTGAAGAGAAGCAGGCGCACCACAAGGTGGCTTAAAGCAGGTAACCTACTGTTTATCCTACCCTTCATGACATCCACCTTTTTTCAAATAAGGAATTAGTTTTCTTCTCTTAAACTGCTGCTGCATGCTGGTGACTATAGATACTGTCTGGGTAACCCCTGGGTGCTAAGAACATGTGTTGATGGACAGAGAGCTTTTCTTCATGGGGCAGATGACCTAAGGACTACTGCTGTGAAAGAGGAAGCTCCTGTGGAACATTGGGGAGGCAGGACTTGCCATCTTCAGAGCAATGTCAAATGAAATCTGGAGACAAAATCCTGGGTAAAGCCCTCCCGTGCTTCACCTGCATCAGCTGTCACAATGATGAGTATGACATCAAAATACCTTATAGTGCAAGGATTATAAAGATGCTTTACAGAGGATCTTATTATACTCAGAAGATGAGAAAACAAGGCTTGTGTCAAGGTCCTTTGCTGAGGTCACCAATGGACAGGGAGCAGATCAATGATTTCCAAAGCCTGAGCTGAGTGCCCAGTGCTGCTGCTGAAGCACATGATGGCAAACTGTTTGCTTTTGTACAGTGCCCCATGAAGAGTAGTTCTGATTTGTATGTTGAAATTTCTTTCTCTGTGAATTCTATGACACTGAGCCTATAACCTACTTTCTGAGCAGATGACTGCCATCCAGCCCCAGTGACTAAGCAGTTAAAACTCTTCCAAAGTTGTATAAACATTTCGTTTCAATATAAGCAAAAGGGAAGCTCCTTCTAAATGGTTCTTGTAGCACATAATGTCATTTTTAGGTTGTCCAGATAAGGAGCAAGAGCAGTCTGCTGTGTATTCTGCAGACCTGGTCCTGTGGTTGCCATGTCAGAGACAGCTCCATTTTGGCTCTCCGTTTTGTTTTCTTCCCGTGGGAATCTGATCACAAGAGGGAAAGGTAGTACATCTTCAGGTTGATTTTTTTCAGACACTGCTGGGAACTGCTGCTGGCTTCCTCGATATAAACAGTTCACAGTAATCAAACACAAAACTTGTGCTCCCTTGGGATATAGGATAACTATATATAGGGTTTGTAAAGCTGGCAAGGTATCTATTTGGTTGCGATGGGTACCGTGTAGCAAATCCAGCCTTTTCAGCAAACCTGATTTTGCTGATTGGAGGAGTAGCTGCACTTGTGTTTGTGTTGACCTGCAATGGCTTTGAATTCTGGTGCTGAGGAGCAGGTAAGTTAAGTTACAGGCCTACAGAGAAGAAGTGGCGTATTCTGGGAGAAAAGGGGTATGCAGAACACTTGTGTACTCCCTAATCCTGAAGATACTTGAAGGGAATATGATACTAACATTTCATGCCATTTATCATAAAAAAAAATAGGTTTTGTTTTTCTTTTATTATTGTAGGATATTTGCTAATGTATCTGAGAGCGAGTTTATCACTACAGGAGACACTGACATTCTCTTTGCCCTATCCTCCTGCCCAGTAGACCGACTGGAAAGGGACAGGCTGCCTGGGTGTCCTACGCCTTCAGTTCTGGGCATGGGAAAGGTCCATTCATGATCCCGCTCAGCCCTTGCTCTTGCCATCGCTGTTGACTTCACCACGCTGTTTCAACCTTCATGAGAACCTGGCCCTGGGTCTTTGCTGAAGCCCAGCACAGTGCTGGGAGAGCTGGAAATGGACTGGGGAACGTGCTTGTGGGTGAGACTTATTAGAAAGGAGGAATCGTGCACTTTGGGGGCTGCAAAGAGGTGTGGTGCAGGCGGCTTTTATTGCTGACCTCTACAAGGTGGTCTGATGCTACTGGGGAAAAAGTTGATGCTTATGAGGTTTAAAAGCCTCAGGACCCGAAGGCATTGTGGAACACCTGCCCCTTACAGCTTGCTAGTGCAGTTATGTCCTTTTCATGCCACAATTTTCTCCTGGCAGAGCCGCCCGTGCCGCTGACCCACACCGTCGTAGGTTTTGTTGAGACCGTACACCCCAGGCCCGGCAGCCCCCTCACCCGGGCCCTGCTCCGCCAAGGACGGGCCTGCCCGGAGCTCCTCCTGGACCGGGTGAGGCACCGGTGCGCCCCAGCTGGGGGCAAAGCGGCCTCCCGGCAACCCGCCGCCGGGGAGGGGGCAGCGGGCTGCTCCTTCTCCTCGTTCGGGA